GGGGACCTCCAAGTGACAGATTCCACAGGAAAGAACGGTTCCTGATCTCTGCTGCCTGACAAACCGGGCAGTCAGGGCACCCTGCCCCCCCCCACCCCCCCACCGTGCAGGCACCGGTCTCCGGACGGGGAAGGAGCGACAGACCGGTGCACGGAAGGCACCGGCGGGAGTGTGCATGTGGGGGGCCGTTTCACTTCACTAGCCTGAAACCAGAGAAGTCCTAGCCCCAAAGCACCAAGCCAGCTGCGGGCGCTCCGCTGGTCTCCACCCCCAGGAGCCCCTAGGCAAGGCCGGGTAAAGGAAACCCCGAAAAGGGGAGACAAACGAGGCTACTCACCATCACCTTCCTCCTCCTCCTCTTCTTCCTCCCCCCCCTCTTCCTCTTCTTCATCTACCTCGTTGTCGGCCTCCTGCTCTCCATTTTCCTCATTCTCCTCGACAGAAAACACAGCAGGTTGTTACTGACGACAGGCCACCCCTCCTGCCCCAGACCCTCCCCCCAGACCCCACCCAGTGCATCTGCAGCCCCAGACCAGGCAAGAGACCTCAGCTCCTCTTCCTAACGCTCCAGCAGGAGACGGTGATGCGGGAACCACCCAAGGGCTCAGCCTCCTCGCTCACCCCAGACTAAGCCCAAGCTGGAGCGAGAGGAACTTCCTGGCCAGGAGTGGCTAGGCATCATGGGCAAGGCAGACACTCACAGCGTTCCCATTAGCAGGCGCGTCTCTTCCATTCTCGGTCTCCTCCACAACTTCCTTCTTCTCCTTTAAGTCCTTCAAAAAGTAAGAGGGAACCAGTAAGCCTTTTGAGAAACCCGGGGCTGGCAAAGAGGCCCAGGGCTCGAGGGTATGAAAGCAGCGCTGATCTGGATGTCCCAACAGCCCCATGCTACACTTGGAAACACGGCAAGGAGGGGCCACAGGATACCCAGCGCTCTGTGGTCAGGGTTTCCTCCAATTTCTCAACCCTTAAGAAACACACCAAAAAGAACCCCCTGCAGTTGTTCCCACTGCCCCTTACTCATGCTTCTTAGGACAAGAACCATGTGGCACCACGGCCTTAAACCCGTCTGGCCGGGCAGACGAGCCCGGGAACGCTTCACTCACACACCCATCACAGACTGGCTTCCAACCAGACGGAGCTCCGCCTCTCACAAATCCTTCTTGGAAGACAGCAGGTATGTGCCATAAATAAATAAGGTAATGGAGGGAGGGCCCGGGCACTGCGGGAGAACTCCCGTGGGCGGGCTAGGCCGAGGAGGGAATGGGAGGGCGCTAACAGGCAGAACTGGAGGGGGCCGTCTCTAGTCCTCAGAGCCGAGCTAATCACCAAGCCCACGGCAGGCCAGCTCTCTATAAAAGACCCAAACCCACCAATTCCCTGTACGTGACAGCTGTCCCAGGAGGTCGCAGATCGTCGCCGGGAAACGTGCCCAGGCTTAAGGAACTCGGTCCCCATTCAGAAGCGCGCCGCCCGGTGCGCCCCATCTCCCTCCCGGCCTCTCGTCGTCCGCGCGGCGGCTCTCGGGGCCCGTCAGACCGCACCTCGAGGAGCGGACCCAGTCCGCTTTCCAAAGGGCAACGCCGCCGCGGGCGCCCCGAAGCCCGGTAACTTTTTCCACCTGGCCGTGCCGATCCGGCCACCAACACAAACAGGCGTCGGGCCGGGCGCAGCTCGGACTCCGTCCAGTGAGCGGCACCGGGGCACCTGTCGGCCCCATTACCACCGGCTGGCGGGCAGCGAACCCCGGTGCCGCCCGCTCCCGCCCCCTGGCGGCCGAAGCCCCGGGGAGCGGGTGGGGGCGGGGAGAACGCGGCGCGCAGGCGCGCAGCCCCCGCCCGGCGGGCTTTGCGCGCGGGCCTCGGCACGCACCGCGCGCGCGGAGCACGTGGCCCAGGGCCGCCGAGTGCGCCCCTGACCCTGGAGACCCCGAGGCTGCAGGCCGCGCTGGCCCCCGCCTGCGCGAGTTGCGCGCCAGTCTTTCCGGGCGTCCTGACGCCCCCACCGCAGGCCTTGATGCGCGGGCCTGCCTCTCTGCATTTGGCGGGCAAAGTCCCGCGGGAGGCCGCCCCGAAGTCCACGGGGCTTTCTCAGTCCCGCAGCCCCAGGCCGTAGGGGATGCGCTCCATGGGGCTATTTATTGCTCCCGGCGGGAAATCACCTTGGAGGAAAGCGAACGCGGACGTCCGCAGTGGGGAGGGCTGACCCTCCCCCCACCCAACTAGTTCCCGGATTGGGCCCAGAGGGGGCCCGCTGGAGCCCTTCTGGAGATCCCAGCCGCAAGCTCCACTCCGCCGGGGGAGTCACCCCTGGGAGAAAGCCAGAGGTGACGCCGGGAGCACAGAGGTTAAGGAGACGCCAAGGTGACTCCTGCCCGTCCCCAAAGGGGCACGAGAGGGGCGCGGACCAGAGCCTTAGGTAAAACGGCCGATCTGCCTTAAAGTGCCGCGCTCCTGCCGAGAGTGGAGACGAGACGCTCCCCGCGCGGGCCGCGGGAACGACCCGGCGCGCAGAACCGGAGCTGCGCCAAACGCGCAGGACCTCAAAACCGAGGGCAGTGAACCCACAACACCAGGCCCCGACAACCCCCGGCGCCCGGCTCGACCCCGCAACCGGCCAGCCGCGGCCACAGCTTTTGTTCGTCCGCATCGCCTCCGGGGCGGCCGCGCACACGGTGCTCCCGGGCAGCCGCGGGGGGCGCCCATCATCGCCCCGGCGCGCCGTTCCTTCACTTTCCGTTTCCTCCCCAACGGCGCGTGGGCTCGCCTCCTCCACAGCCAAACCCGGCACCGCTGGTGAATTACTGAAGCTGGGCGGCTGCTGCCGGCGCACTCTCCCCGGAGGACGCCTACCCCCGCCCTCCCTGAGGGCACCCAGGGCGAAGACCTTCACACCTCCGCGGAGACAATCGACGTCGCGGTCGGCCGACCCGCTGCCCGACTCCGCCTTATCAGAGCTTAGTCCAGATAAACCATCTCGGACCCAGTGCAAGGCGCGAAACGAGGCGGCCCGGCTCCGAACAAAGAGCAGCGCCGCCGGCGGGCGCTCGTTGCGGAGCCGCCACTTCCCGCAGCCGGCCCGCGCCCTCACACGCGCCCCCCCCCAAGCACTTCCGATTCCAAACGCGCTCGAGTTTCAAAGTTATTTCCGTGCGCCCTGCGGGCTGACGACCCCCAGCCCGGCCCCTCTCCTCCTGCCACCTTTCAGACCACTCACAAACAAGTTTCAGGAGCCGTACAACACCCGCCACCCGAGCCCCTCAGCCCCCGCGCCCGCCCCCCGGGGCCCCGAGGGCGCCGGGCCCACTCCCCGACGGGCATCACGCCTGCCGCCGCGCTTCCCGCCCCCTCCCCTGCACACAAAAGAGTGGGCTGCCTGGGGGCCTAGGCAGGGAGCGAGAGGTGTCTCCGCCGGAGGAAGAGACAGCGGGTTCGGGGCAGCCCAGCCGCCGCGCGCGCGCGCCAAACACCGCTCCGGCGGCAGCAGCGCGCGGGCCCCGAAGGGGCGGGCGGCGTCCAACCTCACCTTGGTGGTGATCTCGGAGCTGGTGTCCACGGCCGCGTCTGACATGATGGGGCACGCCGGTGATCCGATGCAGCGGATTAAAAAAGCAAGAGTTCGAGGACTCTGGCGAGAAAGCTGCCTGAGTCCGCGGTGGCGGAGGAGGCGCGCGGCGGAGGTGGTTGCGGCGAACGGGGAGCCGGACACGGGAACAATGCAAAGATGGCTTTTCAGAGCAGCCAGTGGGGAACTCACGCGGCGCCAGAACCTTTAATATAGATTAGTGGGCGGCGCTCGGTCTCCTCTGCCCAGATGCTATTGGCTGAGCGCAGGGAGCGGGCGCTCGCTCATTGGCTCGATTCCGAACAATGGGCAAGCGTGCTTAAAGCGGCAGTGCCTTGGTGCGTCCCGCGCTGCGCAGTCGCCGGCCGCACTGTCATTCAGGGCCTTAGTTTGCCGGGTCTCGGCGGCGCCGGCGCCGCGGGGGAGGGGCGCACGAGCGCGCTCGGGGCGCGCGCTCCCGCCGCTGTTTTGCTGGGGCTGCTGACGCAGAAAGCCAAAGCGCGGCAAAGCCGCCCGCCCAGCCCCCCGTCCTCCCCTCCCCTCTGCTGCTCGGAAGGAGGGGGAGGGAAGAGGAGGCGGTGGCCGGCGCGCACGACGGCTGCCAGCGAGGGGGAGGGGAAGGCCGGGTGCTGGGCTGCGCTCGCCCGGGGCGGTGCCCTGTGCAGTGCCCGGGGAGGTGCCCGCCCCCGCGCCGGGGCACCTTCGACCGAGAATTGTCCCAGTGCAAGTGGGTGGAAACCCTGCGACGAGCAATGAGGGCGCGAGGCCGCCCCGTCTCTACCTCATCCTCACCCTCTGCCCAGCCCCAGGTGCCCCGGGTCTTTGAAGAGGTGACCCTGTTGCCCACCACTAACCCCGCCGTTGGCCGCCTGAGCCAGCCGACAAGCGGGCTCCGTGCCAAGCACACACACTCTGAGATTCATGCTTCGAGGGGACTCGTGGGCCGGTGCGGGCTCCTGCCTTCGAACGGGACAGCCCACGGGCGTCGCACCACACAGCAGTCTCCGCACTCCAGGGCTTTGGAGAGCGCCTGCCCCGAGCGGTCACTGTCGTCGCGACAGCCTCAGGGAGCCCCCTTCCAGAACCCGGCCATCGAGTCTATCCTCTCTCACCCCACTTAAGGCGCTGCGAGGGGCACACGACCTTATACACTGAGAGTTTACTGGGGGGGGGAATAATCGCCCCCTTAGACCAGTTGGTCTAGTCCTTGGGGACTCCTTGAAGTTTGGGGCGCCATTTAGGGAACCACGCGGAGCCCTGAGAAGGGAACCATCAAGGCGCCACACTCAAGATGGCGTTGGACGCGGCAAGCGTGGCGTGACGTGGCGATCCGATCACGCAGACGATCCGAAAACCACAGGTTACACCCTCCTTATCGCCACCGCACTTGGCTGTCGAACTAAGAAAGCAGCTGTGTGGGAAGAAAGATTAGAACAGGTGGGAAAATGTTCCAGAAAAAAATAACCGTGCCGCACTCAACATGGCGACAGATAGGGTTCATCCCTGTGTCGCCAGAAGGGGGCGCCCGACACGGAAGGCGGGACTCCGGAGAAACGGGCGCGCACTGGCTGAGAGTGGCGGGCGAACACAAAGTTGACGCTTTGCGTCCTGCCATTGGCAGGTTCTGCTGTCTGTCTCTTGGGGCCGCGGACCTGGGAATGGAGAAAACCCGGAGTCTGAAGTCGTGGAGGAGGAACGGATGCCAAGTCCAGTAGAGCTTCAAGTGAGGAACGGGAGGAGAGATTGAGTCGCCCTTCTCGGTTCTCTTAGGTCAGGGGCTCGCTGACCCCATTCCCACCGCGAGACTCCCTTTGCTGAGCTTACCACGCGCTCGCCCGGCTGTCTCCTCTGGCCCCGGACTCCCCTGCCCGGCCTGGGGGAGGCGCGGAGTGCCGGGGCGCCACCTGGGTCTGGGCCCCCTCCCCACTTCCCCTGTCCCGCACGCGTCAGGCCCGCATCCTGGTTCACATCTGTCAGTCTGGCCGTTGGGGCTTTCCCGAGCGACTTGTCCCCTGGGAAGAGAGAAGCCCAGGCTCCCTGTCCTTTGGTCGGGAGAAACGTAGGACAGGTGTTGGACAGGGAGGGAGAGCCGCGCCACCTCCTGTTGCTTGGCGGTCGCCATCCCGTCCCGGGTACGCGGCAGCGGAGGGGGCGCCCGCCGGTCTCAGTCCTACCCCCAGGTACCCCAAGGGCTGGAAGGGGATTTTTTCCCCAGGGTGGGCGCGCGCCAATCCAAGGGACTCAACAGTGGTGTCCCCGAGGACCACGCGTCCCAATTCTTTGTTCGGTCCCCTCCCTCCCCCGGCCAGTTGCCTTTACTGCGGCGCAGACCTGGGGCCGCCTTTCGCCCCAAAGAAGGAAAGGGCTCGTTGGCCGCTGCCGCTGTGACCCCCTCCTTTGTGCCACAGTCCTCCGAGAAGTGGAGGGGATTGTGCGGCATGGTAAATGAGGCAGGACAGCGCCTTCTACCTGCGGTGCATCCGTTAAGCTCTGGTTCCCCTAGAAGGGATTGTTCAGTCCACAAAACCCCGATGCCCCGAGAGCTTGGTCTGTGCCACATCTAAGCGATTGAGGCTTCTTCCCTCCCTGTATGGTGGCTTTGGGCAGTCATCTCTGTCCAAGCTGAAAACTGGACATGACTTCAGCATTCTGGCCAGGGCCGGGGGTGGGGTGGGGTGGGGTGAGGGACGGGCCGCACTGGCCGCACTGGAGCCAACATGCGGGAGGAGTTGGGTGAACGTGAATTTCCCTCAAAGAACTGCTTTGCCTGACCCTGTCCCCAGGCAGTTGGCTTTGCTAGAAGCGGTAAGGAAGGCTCATGCCCACCTGGTTCTGGAACCAGTATTTACATTCACCAAGTATTCCCTGGGTGCCTGCTGTGTACACGGCTCATGCTTCAAACGTTTTCATTTATCCTCTGCACTTTGCAAGGTAGACAGGACAATTATAGGGTTGAATCATATGAAACTGATGTTTTTGTAGGTCAAAACCAATTGAAATCAGCAAATTTGTACGTTCAACCTCTAATATGATACCACTTTACTTGTAACAAGTCAAAAAAGCCGACCAAGGGATTATAGCAAGGAACTTGAAGTAACCAAGTGAATCAGTGACCAGGCTGGGGCTAAAATCCTAAAATGGAGGACTCTGTCTTGTTAGATGAGTCCTGGAGCAGAAGTGGCCTCCTTGGACCTCCTTGGGTTCATAAATGGTGGAGTTCTTTAGGCTATCAAGAGCATCCTCTCTCCAGGGACAGGCAACTCACATCATCTTTGCTGTTTCTAAATGGGCTGTTCTTCCTGTCCTCTGTCACTTCCACTCACCAATGCATCTCTGTCCTTTGCTGCTTCTGTGTCCTTTCAAACCCCCCAAGACAAGCTGGTATGCCCTGTTAGGCCACATTTCCTGGTGCATGTTGAGCTGCAGTAGGCTTATGTTAGAGCTGCTCTAAGATGGGGGGGTGTTTTGGGGGGGATTGGGGGTGTGGTGGTATATGGCCTCCAGGCAAGTTTTATTTTAAGGAATTTGTATAAGGGCACCGGGGTTGCCTACACATTCTCCAGTTGGGACCACAGCCCTCTCCCCACCAGGCATGAGTCACACATTTATTTCACCTACCTGGCCCTGTGGGCACTTAAGTTTGCAACCCTTGCTCCTAAGCCATTTCCAACGTATTCCTAATTGGTTGTCTCACAATTCTGCTCGATTCCCAAAAGACCAAAAAGGATATAAAGGCTGGTAAAGCTGCTTGGGTTCATACTCCAGTCATGCCGCACCCTAGCCGTATCGACCTGGGCAAGTTACTTCCTCACCTCCAGAGCATGGAGACTCAATGACAGGGCCTACCTTCCGGCGTTATGGTGGGAACTGAACTGGTTAATATTCAGAAAGTGCTTGAAACAGCATCTGGCATATCCAGGAACACCATCAGTGTTCTCGGGACCCCATTTTCCTGCTTCTCTGTACCTCAGTGGGTTGGTTTCAGTGTTTGCAGGTCTCTGGGCAAAGGAACAATGTCTTCAGCAAATTCTTCCCATATTCAGTGGGAAATGAGGGCACCAGCCTAGCTGAGTTTCTGGAAGCCTATGATTCGGTGCCCGACATGCTTGGCAGCCCCTCTGGCCTCAGAGGAATGACAGAGTCTGGGAGACAGCCTGAGTGGAGAGGGCCTCAAAAAACTCCCGCCTTCCCGCCCTTCAGAAACCCAGGCGTTTCAGGCTGTGGTTTTCTTGCCCGGGCATAAGGGCCTGGGGAGCTGCCAGGGGCCTTTCAACTCTCCCGCCTTGCCGAGCCTGGATGGGATTGTGTAAGAGCCACCCCCCACACGCCTGCTCCCTTGTGCAGCACGTCCGGGCCTGCCCGTTCTCCCCGGGGAGCTGTGCCAGAAGGCCCTGGTACCTACACAGGTCTGGCAGCCCCAAGAGGCTCCTGCCTGGCAGGGACAGGGTGGGGGACATCTCCTTACGTTCAGGGCCTGCCCCCAAACTGATGCCAAACCGGAGCTCTGGTTGGAGACCAGATAAGGAGGCTGGGGGCGGTGCGTGTGCTGTGTCCATGGCCACCGCTGCCTCCCGAGCGCGCTCATGCCATGGTGCCAGTGCTGGCCCCCCTGTGCACGTGCCCCCTTGTGCTGTCTCTAGGAACCCCCTGCCCGCCCCTGCCGTTGCCCGGCTCCGCTTCCCCGCATCCATCCGTGTGTGTGCACGCCTATCTGCAGAGCTCGAGCTCCGTGGGTGTTTTGCTTAAGCTCTGGTTACCGTGTGTGGCACGTGGGCCCGGCATCCTGCTGGCAGGTGAAGGTGCTGGGGTGGGGGGAGCACGTGCGCCGACCCACATCAGTCGCCCTGCCCAAGAAGGCCTGTGAGGGCGGAGCAGCCAAGGAAAGGTTAAACACCTCTATGTGACATGAGGAGACCTTGAACTGGGCATCTCCACACCTGTCCCTTCCTGCCACCTGGCCCCACACGGGAACCTAGCAGGACAGGAGCCTCCAGAGGGTCTGTGCGCCCCCTGCAAGGCCAGAAGGCCCAGGCTAGGTAAGCTTGCAGTTGGGGAGAGGCAGGCTCTTCGACATCCTGAAGTGTCTGCTTCCCTCTTCTCTGTTAATTTCAAATGGGTCTTTCCTTAACTCCGGCAGAGAAGCCACCCCCAGTCCTATTTGGAGGGAGAAGGTGTAAGGTATGGAGGACACACTGCCAGCCAGAATTGACT